ACACACACGAGCGAAAAACAGATCATTTTACTGTCCTTCACCTCTGAGTCGGATACTGCAGGAGAGCGTCGGTCACTTACATGTCTGTCTGGAGTTGCTGATGGTTTCAGAAGATGTGAAGCGGTGGACGAATGACCTCTCTGCTGCTCTCGCGCTTCTATACGCTCAGCTTTTATACGCTCTGGTCAGGAATTCTCACCTTCAAGAAAAACTGGTATTTCCTCCTGAATGAAACGGTCAGGGGGGCGTTATGCATAATTAACGGACCGTGAGGAGTGGACGCGCCTCACTTCTCAGAATATCTGTTAATTATGGTGTATTTATGGGTTTAACCTTTGAAAGGTATGCTGAGGAGTGCAGCAGTGAAGAGTGCGGCTGATGGGGAATGTGGATTCCCAATTAAGCAGGGATTAGGAACAGTGTGACCGTAAAGCTGACCACTAATGACCAGGCCTTATTATGGACAAAGCTTGTTATTGATTACTGATTTACAAAATTATTAGAACTCTGGATAAAGAGGGGAGATAAACCACACACACACTATAAGGACAAAAGTATTGGGACACCTGTAGGAGCTTTTAAGAGTCCCATTCTGAATCCCTAGGCATTAATATGGAGCTGGTCCCCCTTTGCAGCTCTAACAGCTTCCACTCTTCTGGGAATCTTCTACAGATGTTGGAGAGTCTGTGGGAATTTTTGTCCATTCATCCAGAAGAGCATTTGTGAGGTCAGACACTGATGTTGGACGAGAGGGTCTGGCTCACAATCTCCGTTCTAGTTCATCCCAAAGGTGTTTGATGGGGTTGAGGTCAGGGTTCTGTGAGGGTCAGTCAAGTTCTTCCACACCAGACTCACCCAGTCAGGCCTTTATGGAGCTGCTTTGGTCACTGGGGCTCAGTCATGCTGGAACAGGAAAGGTTCTTCCCCAAACTGTTCCCACAAAGTTGGAAGTGTACAATTGTCCAGAATGTCTTGGTGCTGAAGCATTAAGATTCCCTTCACTGGAACTAAGGGTTCTAGATCAACCCCTGAAAAACAGCCCCATATCATCATCCCTCCTCCACCAAACTGTACAGCTGGCACAGTGCAGTCAGGCAGGTAACGTTCTCCAAACCCAGACTCTCCATCAGACTGACAGATAGAGAAGCTGATTGGTCTCTGTACAGAATACATTTCCACTGCTCCAGAGTCCAGTGGTGGTGCTTTAATCCACTCCATCCGATGCTTGGCATTGTGCTGGGTGATCTTAGGCTTGTGTGCAGCTGCTCAGCCATGGAGACCCATTTCAAGAAGCTCCTGATGCTCAGTTCTTTTGCTGATGTTGCTTCCAGAGGCAGTTTGGAGCTCTTTAGTGATGATTCAGTAGAGGATAGACACTGTGAACTTCAGCACTCGGCGACCCCAATCTGTTTCGTGTGGTCTAGCGCTTCATGGCTGAGCTGTTGTTGCTCATGGACGCTTCCATTTCACAATAATAGCACTTACAGTTGTCTGGGGCAGATCTAGCAGGACAAACTGACCTGTGGCAGAGGCGCATCCTATGACAGTGCCATGTTTAAAGTCACTGAGCTCTTTCAGTACGACCCTCTACTGCCAGTGTTTGTCTATGGAGACTGCATGGCTATGTGCTTGATTTTGTACACCTCTTAGTAACAGGTGTGGCTGAAACACCTGGACTCACTAATTAGGAGGAGTGTTTCAATACTTTTGGCCATTTAGTGTAGATGAACTAGGGCTTTTACAAAGAGGTGACTGCGTAAGAATAAGCATTTAAGTGCTTTTGGTCAATATGCACCTGCTACTGTTCTGATACATTTGATAATTTTTAAATATAGCTATAAAAAAATCAATTATTCAGTACTTATTACACTTTATTCAGTAATTAATATAAACTATGCAGTGTCTACTACACATCAATACCTACCACAAATGATTCAGAATCTACTGTGGATTATTCAGCATCTACTGTGAACTATTCAGTATCTACTACACATTGATATCGTCTATGAAATAATCAGAATCTTACAAACTTTTCAGTATCTAGTATGAATTACTCAGTACCTACTTTAAACTATTCAGTATCTACTATAAACACACAAAGCTGGAAGCAGATATCTGTGTAAAATCTTTGTGCTGTTTATTTAACATCACCCTTCACTGGAACTGAGAGCCCAAACCCTGAAAAACAGCCCCGCCCATCATCCCTCCTCCACCAAACTTTACTGTTGGCTCTGCATTCCAGTAGGTAACGTTCTCCTGACATCCACCAAACCCAGATTCATCATCAGACTGACAGGTAGAGAAGCTGATTCATCACTCCAGAGAACACGTTTCCACTGATCCACAGTCCAGTGGCGGCGCTTTACACCACTCCAGCCGACACTTGGCATTGTGCATAGTGATCTTAGGCTTGTGTGCAGCTGCTCAGCCATGGAAACCCGTTTCATGAAGCTCTTGATGCTCAGTTCTTGTGTTGATGTTGCTTCCAGAGGCAGTTCTGGAGCTCTGTAGTGAGCGCTGCAACAGATTTCACACGCTCAGCACTTCAGCGCTTGTTAGCCCCGCTGTGAGTCTGTGTGGTCTACCACTTCATGGCCGAGCTGTTGTTGCACTAAAATGCCTCCATTTCACAATAACAGCACTTATGGTTGTCTAGGGCAGCTCCAGCAGGGTGGAAATTTCACAAACTGACTTGATAGTGCCACGTTTGAAGTCACTAAGCTCTTCAGTACAAACTTTGAGGTTGTCGATTTGCGCAGAATATCTTAGAAAAACACAAACATGGAATCACATAACTAATTTCTTTATTCAGTCAACCATAAAATATACAGGAATCTCTTGCGCTGAATGAAAGGCTACGCTAACCACTCTCCAATGCAATCGGAAAGGAAAGCAAAGCAGGTTCAACTTTCATGCAGCACTCAAAGGTGAATTAAACAGACTTCCAGTTCAAAATCATTCCAAAAAAAAAAACAAAAAAAAAAATCAAAAAAAGAGACAAACACAACTTTGACAGACGAGGACTCAGTGGTTTCATTAGCTAATCAAGCGAGCCAAAAACCTGATAATAATAATTAATAATAATAATAATAATAATGATGGTAAGAGCTGGGAGGAAAAATATAGATACATTTTAATATTCATATTTCACCATACAAAGGAAATCAGACGCCACCATTGGTTCACACAGTGTTCTTCACCCGGAGCTTTAGCTTCAGTCCAGTTTCAGTGCTTCTCAATAAACGTAGTGTTGAACTTTGTGCCGCGCAGTTTTCTTCTCTGCCTTTTAAATCTCCTCCTGCGTCCACACGGCAAACCATGAAGGCACAAATGATGAAATATGGAAACTAAAAATAAATACGACAGATAAAAAGAATAATTTATTCTGAAAGAGAAGACAGCAACGGTTAGCCTGCTCTTCACTCACGCCCATTGCTGTTAGCGTTACAATGCTAATATTTACTTCTTTTCCTCCGCCGGCCCTCTAAGATTCGAAAATAGAAGGAAATTCTTTGATTTTTCTTTCCCCCAGAGGAACAGAGGATATAGACGTGTATTAAAATCCTGTTTTAAAAAATAAATCTCTTTTTTTCTTTGTAACCCCCCCCATGTAAATTACCAAATTAAGCGAGCGAAATTAAGCGAGCAGAGACGTCCACCTCCGTCGCGATCAGCCTCGTTCTCCGCCGACGATTATTCAGAACCGGTCCTCGTTTTCAAAATACCAGCTGCAAAAGAGCTGGATCGCGTTTCCAACATTGGTCCCAGGCTGGCGGTTCTCTGTTCCCCGCTTTATTGCCAGGTACGGAGCTCGGCTCGTCTGACGCGGCTGTCCGGAGGCGAGTGAAAGAAGCAGAAGGTACGCTGAGGTATCTGCTGAAAGGGCACGAGGTGCTGGTTGAGGTTGAGCGGACAGAGAGAGGGGGAGGGGGAGGAGGGGATAGGTTGGAGGGGGAGGGCTGGGTGGGCCAGCCTGCTGTGCCTTTATGTATGTGTGCAGTCGTATGCAAAAGTTTGAACAAATTACACTGATTTTCTAAGTGAAAACATCCTCCACGCAGTTAAACATGGCATTCCTCGCCACAGTTTCTGTTTATTGAGTTTAACGTCTAAAACATAACATATAAAATGTGCCTTCACTTTTGCACAGGCAGCATCCGATATTAAATAAAGCTGAATTCAAACAAACAGCAACTGTGCACTGAAACTTCTCTGTGGAGGAACTTATTTTCACTTTGAAAGCCAACAAAACGGAAACGGGGCGCCCAAACTTTTGCATAGGTGTGTGTTATGGCTGCACAATATATTCGTTAACTGTGATGTCAGAAAATTAGATTAAGTATTATAACTAAGGGTGAGCAATAAAACCATATATATTGTATCGTGATGAACATCACAATATTGTCAAGTGAAATGATCTTAAATCTAGTCAAACTATCCAATATTTCCCATTTTGAGATGGTTGTGCAGCTCATTTCTTAAAACAAGCCAACTTATCTGCCAATATAGTGACAATTTTACTTAAAGTCTCTTTTTACTTGTTTTAAATCTAGAAATGGGTTAAATAATCTAAAATTAAGCTTACAATCTCAAAAAGAGAAATATTAGATTCATTAACAATATTTAAGATAATTTCACTTGTCAAGAGATTTTTTGCAGTGTTATTGTGGACGCTGTAGTACAGTACGTGGACACTGACGGGCAACACTTCTCATTATTAGAGCGTAATTGGTCCTGTTTTAAAGCAGTGCAGTGAGTAGAAAGTCACTGCACTCCTCAGCACTGCTTTCGACAGTATTATTTTTAATCTGGCACTTGATGCATACAGTATACTATGAGGTCCTGAAGGCTTTATCGCCCACCCCATCACAATCTGTAGCAAATGTATTCGCAATATTAGTATTTCTATATACTGTGCAGCCCTAACGTGTGTGTTTGTGTGTGTGTGTGAGACTCTTAAGGCTCTATGCAGTGACCGGCTGCTGAGGCCAGGCTGCCTCTGGGCGATTAAGACACAGTGAGTCTCTCTCTCCCCCCTCTCTCTCTCTCTGTCTCTCTCAGTAGGTCTCGGAGTCGGAGTCGTTGAGCTCGTCGTCCTTGTAGAAGCCGTGGTGGTGGCGGCCGATGCTGTTGAAGCTGCAGTAGGAGGTGTGCACAGGCAGGCTGTCGAACGTCACGCTCTTCACAGGGCTGGTGTAGTGGTTTATGGAGCTGAACGCCAGGCTGCTGGGAGCAGAGACAAGAACTCGTTACATTCAACCACTTAAGCCACCTTAAAAGGGCCCGTATCCTACATTGGCCTTGTACTTTAATTCTTTCCCTGAGGTCCACTTACAACATTTATATGGTTTTATGCACCTAAAACATTCATTCAACCTCTCTTTATCCCTTATTATTAAAATTAGGCTGTTTTTTTGTTACTGTGCCTTTAAAGGTGCGGTGTGTAAGATTTCGTGGTGAAGTTGCAGAATGCAACCAACTGGACCCCACTCCCTCACTCCTCCATTTCCAAGTGTGTAGTAGAACCTACGCTGGCTGTCAGGTTTTCTGTGGTCATTTGTCCTGATTTTGTTTTGCTTCATGTTTTTGCTGCTTTGTTGACGAAGATTCACCCTCTCTCACTTTTTCTTGTGCTCAATAATAAGTCTGATCATCCATGTGTCAAAATTTCAGTTCTCAAACTTCTCACAACACAAAATGGCTACCAGCACTGGCAGCACCAACTGATTCTTCTTTCCACGTCTTCCAGCCGGAGCTACAGCGCCACTAAATTCAAGCTGACTCTACAGCGTAAAAGCGCAAAAGGTGCCCGCTAGAGGCTTTGGTTTGACCATTCTGGGCTACTGTAGAAACATGGTGGCGCAACATGGCGGCCTCGGCTGAAGAGGACGCGCTGCCTGTGTAGATATGAAAGGCTCATTCTAAGATAATAAAAACACTGATTTGTAGTTACAGGTGATTATACAGTAATGAAAATATTCCATTTCTGCTAATAATTCCCCCTAAATATTACACACTGCACCTTTAAGACAGATCTATGCAAATGAGCTCTGTCCTAATTGGCTGTGTCTTGTCAAAAAGCAGTCCAAGGTTGAACCACTCCTTATAACTTCAGTGTGAGTGGGCGGGGCTAAACGGCTGTAGGCTTAATAGGTGGAAATATGTAAATATGTTTTTATAGTATCACAAAAAATATTCAAAACGGACTGTTATATGGATCGCATGTATGGACTGGCGAGTGAATGGTACACAAAATTAAAAATTAAAAAAAAAAACAAAAAAGAAAATTGTTTATTATGGGCTCGTTAACTAGAACAAATTTGTACTAAAATATGTACTAGAGATGGCACGATAATTATCATGGAAAACATACTCCACTGTCCATAAGGTCCATATATGGAAAGAAAGCTGATAGAGATAGATGGCCTGTTTCAAATTCATTGTTTTTATATATATATATATATTCGCCTTTTAAAGGGGTATTTAATTAAAATTCAATTAGAGAAAATTAGAACATCATAATGTCTAACTTGCATGATGATTCAGTGCCATATACTGTATATTGAAGTATCCTAGTAGTTCTATCAACATTTAATACAGTATAACAACTGAATGTCAAATCAAAGTGCAATTCAATAATATTTCAACAATATTTGAGTTTCATACTTTCATCGGACTCTCTTCTCCGACTGCTGTGTCTCGCCTCGTCTCTCCCGTGTGTGTGTGTCACTCACTCGAGGCTCTGTGCACATCGTAATGCACAGATCGGATTGGCTGAGTAGCGCCATGTGAGATATTTACAACGCATGCGATTGGTCTGTGAGTGTTCTGGGCCGCTAAATCGCTACCGTAAAGTCTAGAAAAGTTACGCCCATTAAAATAGAAACACTCAATCCAAATTAAATCATTCTCAACAGTCTATCGGTTGTAGGTCCAGGTCTACAACCGTTTCAAATTCATTGTTTTTGTGATGTCACGAAAAACCAAAATCATTTATATATATACACTCGCCTTTTATCCTGCTGCAGTTTAGGCTAAATGATATCAGTTGAGTACTAATTTGTACGGCTCTCAGAACATTCTGGGTACTTTCACTTCTACTCAACTACATTAGTGAGGAAAAAAAAATCTATTTTCCCATCAGTTTAACTTCAGGCCTTCGCATTTGGCTCTAATTCTCTTTTTCTTTCTCTAATTCCATTTAAACTGTCGGTTCAGCTCCTGTTCTGCTTCACTGCTCATCAACATTTTCAGCATTTTATTTCAGACCAAAAGAGTCTAACAAACTCATCTATCACTTCCTTTGCTGGTAGATGCTGGATGGAAGAGGTTCCAGTGCAGCTCTATGCAGTGTTACAATGACGTCACGGTCGCACTGCCACCATTTTGGTAGGCAACATCAAGTCCATTCAGCAGTGCTGTGGCACTTTGTAATGAGATAAAGCTAACTGATCCAGCAAAGGCAGTAAAACATGTTTTTTAAACACATTTTAAATCTCATTTCTGCATCCCAAACTGCAACTTAGCTCACTAAACAGCATGTAAAAATAACCCTTTAGAAGTGCACTATTAGTGCAGTAGGTGAAGTACAGAAGTGTGCGGTTTGGGACGCGGCGTTAGATCAGTGAGACGCGTTCAACAGCTGCTCTGCTGTGCTGCTCGTTGGCTGCTCATTAAACACCTCCAAGAGGAGGTTTGAGGGGTTTGTTGATTAAGGAGCTTTTATTGAGTAAATTAATGCATTTATAAAGGCAAATTAATGAATTTATTCAGGTAAATTAATGCATTTATTGAGATAAATTAAGATGTTTATTCAGGTAAATTAATACGTTTAATGAGGTAAATTAAAGCACTGATTGAGGTAAATTAATGCATTTACTGATTTAAGATGATGTTGCTTCGTATTCGCCAACTTTAGAAATTGGTTCTCCGTTTAAGGCACCTCAACGTAACTGCAACTCCAGTTAAGGTGGAACGGAAAATTCAGATGAGAAGCTGGTGAATAAGAAGCTTCAGCTTAATAGTTATTCATGAGTTTATTATTTAAGAGCTCTGGTAGCCACTTTTATTAGTTTTTATAAAATATCACACACTGGAATGTTCTGAACTCTGGAGATGAGCAGGCTGGGATCTAATCCACGAATCTAGCTAATCTTATCCTCGCAGCATTTACATATCTGTTCATGTATTCATGGTCATTCTGGTCTGTGTTGTTGGTGTTTATCCTCCTGCAGGGCTGTATCTGCAGTAACGGTGATGAGACGAGCTCCATCAGAGCACGGTCAGAGTCACAGCTCGCCTACCAACATGGAGACGAGCTCTTCTTAATGATGTGAACTAATACTATGAATATTCGTCGAATATGCTCACCTCTGACTGGGAGACACCGGCATCATGGTGGCCAGTATGAGCGCCAGGCAGTCGGCCACGTCTTTGTTGGGGGCACAGGCCAGGGCAGGCGTGTAACCTGGGAGGGTGAAACATGTCAATGTATGCAAGAAAAGACATCTTCAAACAAATAAGCTCCACTTTACTGGTGTACAGGGAGAGACTGTAGGTTGGTGTTGGCCGTCCTTTAGTCCAGGGGTATTAAAAATTAAATTAGAATATCATAATGTCTAACTTGCATTATGATTCAGTGCCATATACTGTATATTGAAGTATCCTAGTAGTTCTATCAACATTTAATACAGTATAACAACTGAATGTCAAATCAAAGTACAATTCAATAATATTTCAACAATATTTGAGTTTTATACTTTCATCGGACTCTCTTCTCCGACTGCTGTGTCTCGCCTCGTCTCTCCCGTGTGTGTGTGTCACTCACTCGAGGCTCTGTGCACATCGTAATGCACAGATCGGATTGGCTGAGTAGCGCCATGTGAGATATTTACAACGCATGCGATTGGTCTGTGAGTGTTCTGGGCCTCTAAATCGCTACCGTAAAGTCTAGAAAAGTTACGCCCATTAAAATAGAAACACTCAATTGAAATTAAATCATCAACAGTCTATCGGTTGTAGGTCCAGGCCCGGATAGGACAGTGTCTGGATCCAGACCCGTGCCCCCCCCCTATCAGTGACCTCTGCTCTAGTCCTTCATCACTGATAGAGCCACTCCTGGTTCTTGGATCTTTCTGAGTCTCAACCTAGCAGTGACTCTGATGTGCACAAAACCAAGCAACACCACATATGGGGGCAGTCGTGGGCTGGAGGTCAGGGAACCAGCCCTGTGACTGGAAGGTCGGCAGGTCGAGCCCCGAGCCGACAGTATGTGAATGAAGTGCCCATGAACAAGACACCCAACCCCCAACTGCTCCCAGGCGCTGTGGATAGGGCTGCCCACCGCTCCGGGCAGGTGTGCTCCCTGCCCACTAGTGTGTGTGTTCACTAGTGTGTATGTGGTGTTTTACTACACAGATGGTTCAAATGCGGAGGTGAAATTTCCCCGTTGTGGGACTAATAAGGTAAGAGTCACTTAATCAAATTTTTAAAAAAGACGGTTCCTTAAGGGCTCTTTAGTAAAGGGAATTGCTCCATTCAGAACCATGAGTTCTATACGGAGCCATCTGCATGCTTAAATGGTTCTTTGCATGGTGAAATGGTTCTTCAGATTGATAGAAAATGCTTTGTCTATGGTTCTATACAGACCCTCTTTTGAAAATATATCTAGGTTCTGCTACTATTACGATCGGGAACGTCGAGAGGCATTTTTCAACTATATACAAAAACTACGATGATGAAAGTGAACTCAGGGAAAAAGTGGTCCAGACTACACAAACCAGCTGACACTATTCTGTGCAAATTATCAGAATAAGGTTAGTGTGATTTTTCAGCTGTTTGCCCAGTAATGCTGAATATCAATCAAGTGAAGTGAAGTGCATTAAAAAACAATCAAAGCTTTTAAAAAGGATGATTTTTGCATTTTTCTTTTTGACCTGTCCACTAGAAGTAGATCTCAAGCCAGAAAAATATGGGCACCTGTCCTACACCACTGACTGTAGTAGTGTCTTGAATAAATTCTACTTTGCCATATCCTTCCTCTCCTGCCAGTCACTCCATGCTCACCGGTACTCTCACCATTCCTCCAATTCTACATCAATCTATCTATTTAATTTGATCAACTCTGCTTACTGCCCTAGACTCTAGCCCTTTAGTGGGGACCCAACACACTGCCATGTCAGAGTCACTGCTGAGAACGTAATAATACCAAATGAGACCAAATGACATGTGGTGAGCTGTTGTTCCATAGTGGTCCCTTTCCATTGATGGGGTCGGGTGGGGGATAAACTGTGCAGCAACAAATGGGCTGCAGTCTGTAATTGTAGACCTTCAACCTGCACCTGTACGGCAGGAGTTTCTGACAGAAGAATTACCGTTCTCATCCACTGCTAACACGCTCGCACCCTTAGCCAGCAGCTCCTGCACCACAACTGTCAGACCGTTCCTGGCAGCCACGTGCAGAGGCCTACAGAAAGAACAGCTCAGAGTCAGCCCAGAGGACGCTCATTAACATCTCGTTAACTGGCCGCTGTACACGTGACATCATCTTGTGAGTCATACGTACGTTTGTAAAGCTGCGTTGGTGGAGTTGATGAGATTTCTGTCCGTGATCTTCTCCAAGATCAGCAAGGCACTGGTCTCGTGTCCCTACAGGAGGGTAAAAACAGCATCAGTTAAGGGTCTCCTCTCCCGGCCACAGAATCACTCTGCCGGACAGCGTTAAAGTAAACATCCCTTTAAACGCATATTGAACTCCAAGGGTTTCTTCTGGAGCCAGGCAATATGACGATTTATCGTTATAGTGATAAATTACATCACAATGTGACACAACATGCTTTTCTGAATGTATTGTGGACGTCAACACTTAAAAACACTTCCCAACTGCATGTTCAATTAAAAAAGTAAGCATAATTAGTCCTGTTTAATTGGATTTAGTGCAGCACAGAAATGAAACGCTGAATCCATATTACTGTATTCATTGTTTTTAAAGGCACTTTTGAATGTGGCACTATTTTGTCTGCTCTACCTTATCAGAGTCCAGAAAACAAATATTGTGGCACACTAATATCATGATACTACATTTTACCATATTGCCCATCTTTAGTTTCTTCCTCCCCACTTACTCTCAGCTATGGAGCAGCATCTGCCCCGAGATATAAACAGAGCCGTTCAGAGTGGTTTGGTGTGAAACGCTCCGTTCTAAAGGAACTTACAGTCAGAACTTTTCACAGTGGTGGTGATAGGAACCAGACGTCCACCTCTAAAAGCTCCCTCGCAGATGGGAGCAGTTTTACGGCTACAATGTACTTTTTTTGGACCAATAATGGTGGAGAGATACATGTAGAGTGTAATAAGGCAAAATAGTCCCCAAAGTCCTGGATAGTAAATAAAATGTCTATATTTGTGTTGTAGTCATGGCGACCCCTGGTTCCTATCACCACCACTGTAAAGACATCTGAACCATTTCACACCAAACCACTCTGAATCTCTCTGATTACATCTCAATAATTGAATTATGTACATTTTGAAAAATCAGTGGAATTCCCCTGCAAGCATCACAAGTAAAAGTAGTTCTGTGCTTAAGTAGAAGTAGATGCACTTTTGCTAAACTATTATTTGAGTAAAAGAACAAGAACTCTATTCACATTTCTACTAAAAGTCCCTGCGATTAAAACACAATGCATTTTATCCTACCTGCATTTTCACTGAACTGGATCCTCTGAATTTCAAGGTGGTTAAGAAGCTGAAATATGAATATTGCTACATGCAACTAACACTGCTGTGCACTGAACTGACATCATGAAGCAGGCAAGTACACAGAAACCTCAAACAAACCGAGAAGCTTCACCCAGTGTGGTAGTTAGGTTTCTCATGCAGTATCTGGTACGATTACATAACAGTGCAGAAGCTTAACAGTAGACTTATTTTCCTGTGGCTTCCTTTCATTTGTGTACGGAAGTGATGTAGTTTGCTTTTAGGATGGATGTAGCAATGTTCATATTTGGGCTCCTCAATGACCCCATAATTCAGAGGATCCAGTGACATTCAGTGTAAAAATATAAGCAAGACAAAATGCAGTGGGTTCGGAACCCTTCTGGTCACCACAGGGCACAATAGCTATGATTTTTCTAAAATCATACTCAAATAAGTGTCCAGGGGTCCATATAAAGTGGGACTGATTGATTCCAAAGGTCCTTCTTTTGATCAAACAAACCGTGGTGTTACTCCACTCCAAACCCAGTTCTTTCAGTACTAGTACAGTGTTTGTATCTGTGTGACTGACCTTACTGCAGGCCAGGTGTAGTGCGGTGTTTTTGTTGGCGTCCTGCAGCGTCAGGTCAGCTTTCGCACTGCTCACTAACAGCTCTGAAACCCAGAGAGACACATGCAGAAAAATCAGACACTGAACTTCTTCACTTAGTCACTATCATCACTTTAATTCCTTTTAACCATCTTAAAGGAACACACCAGTGTTTTTCCAACCTGATCTCCATCTGCTGTATCTGTAGTGTACGGTCGATTACCACAGACAATCACTTCAATAAGTTTTCCTGAACTTAGAACAGAGCAGAAAACACACTGACCCTAATCTTACTTACAATGGAAGCCAATGGGCAGATGCTGAATTCTGTCAGTATATGTAAACGTTTACGTGAAATGTGTGTTTCTGTAAAACGCATAATGAAAACTCAGGCACAGAATAAAGGTAACAAGCTCAGAACTCAATCCCCTGTACAGCAGCAACATTCTCAGGAGAACAGTTTAGTGCCTAATACGAAATGCACTGTAAGACTAACATACGAGGATATTTATTGTAGAAGCACTTAGTTCACTGAGTTCAATAACTATGCAAATACAAGTTATACCCAAAAATTTTACTATGTTCTAGATATTTTGATTTGTTTTTTAAAAAATCTGTTGCTTATCAAACTGACTTTGCCCAGTGTTTGTGTCCCACTGCCTCCAGTGCTTGGACCCCCGAATATTGCCACTTGCAGTGTAATTACAGTACACAGAAACAAACATGTTCTAAATCAATTACAGACGCACTGAACGGAAGCCAGTCTCTAAAATGATATTGTACACATGCTAACCTTTCTGTAGTCTTATACAGAACCATTATAGTCATATTTACTGACAGAGCTCAGCATCTGCCCACTGACTTCTATTATAGCGAGTTTAGAGTCGGTGGGTTTTCTATTCTTTTCTGAGTTCAGGGAAAGTATTGAAATTACTGTCCGTGGTGATCAAACCGTCCGCTACAGATACAGCAGACAGAGATCAAGTTGAAAAACACTGAAGTTCTCCTTTAACTCAGACATTTCAGCCAAAGGTCTGTATATATGGAGGTTCCTTACCCACAGCGTTCGTCTGGCCGTTCTCAGCAGCCATCATGAGTGGAGTTTTCCCGCCAGCATCGACGCAGTTCACCTGGGCGTTTTGGCCCAGCAGGAGCTGCATACACTCCACGTGATCAGTGAATGCTGCAGCGTGGAGGGGAGTCCTGGAAAAAATGGAGAAAAACAGATTTCTGCATAATTAAACGGTTAAGATGTAAACAGAGTCGTTCAGAGTGGTTTGGTGTGAAACACTCCGTTCTAGAGAAACTTACTGAGTCAGAACTGTTCACAGTGGTGGTGATAGGAACCAGACGTCCACCTCTAAAAGCTCTCACAAGGACCAAATGATTGTCTGTCATACTGTTTGTGCGTTTTTCTCGATATCGTACACAGGGTTCTTCAGTAAAGACAATGGTTCTATATAGAACCATGAACACTCAAAGAAGTGTGATTAAAGGCATGATTAAAGGGTTCTCTGCCTCATTAAAGGGTTTTTAAGAATGTGCCAAACTAAATGGGCTGTAAGATGCTTTACAGACTGGCTGGAACAAAACAACATTAATACTGATCTGGCAAAAACTGACAAAACTGTGCTGAACTTGATATTGCGGCAGTTTTAGGGCTCAGTCTGATTTGGTCAGACTCTGAAGATCAGACTACACGTTTGGCGAATGGTGTTGGGTTAATTTCTGGCTGATTCCAGGTTGTTTAGCTGTTCTTCTGTCACAGCTGCCGACTGAAAAGCTGCTCAGTGGTGATGACAGTTTGGGAATTTAGTGTAAGGAGCTGGAGAACGAACTGCCGGCTGTGCAGCGAGTGGGCGGAGCTCGTTACTCTGATGTAGCAACAAGCTGCTCGTTAAGGAACTATAATTTGGTGAAGGACCTGCGAACATTAAAACATATTAAACGCTGCGTTCACGGCCCAGTTTATTAATTTATTACTTTATTTATTTAACTGATGTATTAAAGCAATAGAACACTCGAGGAGTGTGTTATCGCCAATAACATCACAGCTGTGATGATCTACGGCGACCAAATCACAGCCGTGATGTTATTTCGCGATAACACTCTCCCCTCTCTGGTTCTACTGCTTAATCAAACTCGAATTTTTATGATAACATTCGTCAGAAAACACTTTTTGTTGATAGCAGTTAATCAGTTAATCATTTATGTCCCGTGTTAACCGACTAACTGCAAACCTGCTTTAAATCCTCTATTTAACCAAAATAAAGATAGAAGAGACTCAGTCCTCACCTGTTTTTAGAGTCGGTAGCATTGACAATCGCAGGACCCAACGTGTCAATCAACATTTCAGCTGCTCCCTCGTTATCATTTATCCTACAATTTGAAAAAAAGAACCATTCAGATGAACTGAGCCTCTACTGTGAGCTTCAACTCTTCAGAGCGCTCAGAGAAAGATCAGACTTACACGGCGCAGTGCAGGGGGCTGAAGGAGTTCCCCTCCATCTTATGGAACAGCTCCTGCTCCAGCAGCACTTCAACACACGTGTCATGACCTAGAAACAAATAAAATGGACAGAAATAAAGAAAATCAAAATCACATTAAACCAGACGACAGGACTCTCTCACCTTAACGAAGAGAAAGAGCTCTTAAACGCATGTTAAGGACTGACCGATATGAACGTCTGGCAACTGATACGATACAGATTTTAAGGTGTTCAAAAAGTGTTCAAAATTATGATAATGATAAAAATAATAACAACAATGTTGGACTATATAATTTTATACGGTCAGCTGACTGATATGGTTGACAGTAACTATATGTAATTATATATAACTACATGTTAACTGTGTGTAACTGTAATTACCATTATAACAGGCCCAGTGCAGTGGCGTGTAGCCCTGCTGGTCCGTAATGACGGGGATGGTCTCCACCGACTGGGCCGCATGCAGCAGACCACCCAGCACCCCCACGTGGCCACAGGCAGCAGCCAGGTGAACAGGAGAGCGCCCCCTACAGTCCCGCACCATGAAACTGGCACTGTGCTGGAGCAGAGCCTCCACGCACTCCTCGTGACCCGTCACTGCCTGGAGACATCAGCAAGACATCAGTGAGACATCGGCTAACCATTGGCTAACCATCTCACATTCATACATGACTGAAAATAATTCTGTACTGCTCTGAATATGAGCTAGACTGCTGCGGTAAACTGAATAGAGTTTAAAGAGACATCGCTTTACAAACATTACGATTTTAATTAATTTATTTATTTGATTTCATATTTTGTTGAACAACAATTCCCTTGTTTTATCCATTAACAGCACTATTATTATTAATTTTTTTAATTAAATTATTTTTTTCCTTCTTTATTCACATTTCATTTCTTCTGCAAGGCACTCTGAGTGGCATCTTAATGTATGAAAGGTGCTATAAATAGAGTTCATTATTATAATTATAAAGAAGCAGTGGGAAGACTTCAGTCACATGGTAATGATCCCCTGCCTAACGAGCACAATTAGTTCTGATCTCACAGTCTGATTGGCTGGGAGACATTCTATCTCCTTATATTGCCTCTCTGACCGCATTTTTAAAGCATCAGTGCACCTTATGCATCTGTAACCTAGCAACAGCAGCCGCAAAAACAATTAAGGTGAATTCCACCAATTTTTGATGTCAACAGGAGTCGTTCAGAGTGGTTTGGTGTGAAACGCTCTGTTCTGGAGAAACTTAGAGTCAGAATTGTTTACAGTGGTGGTGATAGGAACCAGATGTCCACCTCTAAAAACTCCATTCATGGTGGAGGGATACATGCAGGGCGCTGTGAGGCAAAATAGTCCCCAAAGAAAACTTATTATTTCAGATTTTCCACTATTTTCCATCATCAACATTCCATATAAACTCAGAAGACTCGTGTAGGTTCACTGGTGGTTCTGGATAGTAAATAAAATGTCTATATTTGTGTTGTAGTCATGGCGACCCCTGGTTCCTATCACCACCACTGTAAAGACATCTGAACCATTTCACACCAAACCCACTCTGAACCATTTTGACGGTTGTAATTGCAACAATGCAGTGTGTAACAGTCCTTTCTAGTACTGGATGATACTGATAAATATCATGATATTTTCCAAATACATTACAGTATCAGATGATATGCAAGTTAGCATTATTTATTAATATATTAGCATTAATACAGTTAATTTCTGTTATTACGTTTTTACATTTGGTTCTTTTTGCTCCTTAAAATTACACTAAATAGATTCTTATACAGTACTGTAAAGGTTAACCAGTCAGAAACCCCATTCACAGAAAAGAAAATTAATGCTTTTAATGCTAATTAGCGCTGCAGTTAAGGGTCAGGTCATTATTTTATGGGCGCTATATCATAGATATTACGCTCATTATCTAAAACAGTGAGGTTTTCAACTTGTGGTCAAAATTGAATTACAATATAAAGACCAAATATTGGATATTTAACCTAATATTAATGTTGTGATAATTATTTGCAAAAATATGTTTTTAGGTTGATTGATGACCTAAATGACTGATGTAACTGACATAGCAAACTAATTATGTTTGTATTATGTATAATTAATTATGTTTATATTTCTATAAATAGAAATACTCTATTTTCTTTGGTTTTATTGTGTGATGATACGGTCAAGGCTAAACTGATTATTGTGCTACATTTGTTCGTATTTTAAATGATCAGAGGTTGGACTATTTTCTGAAGAATAATTCTAAGAACAAGTGGTATTGAAAACATCCTGAAAACATGTTCTTAAATGTTTTCTTAATCTTGTGACGGCCTCATTCGTCTCAGGCTGTGAGAGTTGACGAGGTCAGCATCTAAATTCATCAAACTTGGCTGCTGCTCCTCATCCTTGTCTCTGGCTTTCCGCCGTCACCCCACAATTACTGGATTTTTTCAAGATGATTTTTTTTCCTGTTAGCTGTTTCTTCTACTATCACCTCTAGATCTTGTTTGCTGTAATATTTTAAAAGCTTGGTTTGATGTTTTTCCTCCATTTTGCTCCTGTGAGCGGATTAAACAACGGAAATAACAGTTAATATGAATTAAAAACGTATCTCGCAGCATTTATGTTAAGCTGTAAAATGCATCACAGCCTACATGAAAAAATAATGATTTTTTTTTCAGGAAATCTAAAGAAACTAATAAAGATTATCTTAAAAGAATATTTAGGAAATTCTTCAGTTTTATTTCAAGAACTGCATTTAAAACATTCTTATGAAGTTTTTAGTGTTTGTCTTAAGAACCTTTGCAAGTTTTTCCTTAAGAAAGCTTTTGTGAATCCGGCCCCAGTTCAGGTAAATCTTCTTGTGGGCTATGAAAGTGAAAGGGGGCAGTCGTGGGCTGGAGGTTAGGGAACCAGCCCTATGACCGGAAGGTCGCTGGTTACATTACATGACTGAAGTGCCCTTGAGCAAGGCACCTAACCCCCAACTGCTCCCTGGGCGCTACAGATAGGGCTGCCCACCACCCCCTAGTGTGTGTGTTCACTAGTGTGTATGTGGTGTTTCACTGCACAGATGGGTTAGAATGCGGAGGTGAAATTTCCCCGTTGTGGGACTAATAAGGGTCACTTAATCTTATTCCTTCTTACAAGTCAGGACCTCGACATATCACTGTGATACTGACGTACTCTTGCGTTTTTAAGAGTGCTTTTAACTTTCCATCCTTTTGTAGCTCACACAGGGACCACAAAAGCGTTTAGATTAGATTAAGAGACCCTTATTAGTCCCACAGCGGGGAAATTTCACCTCCGCATTTAACCCATCTGTGCAGTGAAACACCACATACACACTAGTGAACACACACACTAGGGGGCAGTGAGCACACCTGGCCAGAGCGGTGGGCAGCCCTATTCAACTGCTCCCCGTGTGCTACAGGGGTTAGGCGCCTTACTCAGGGGCACTTTAGTCACATACTGTCGGCTCAGGGGCTCAAACTCAATTCCGGTCGCAAGGCTGGTTCCCCAACCTCCAGCCCACGACTGCCCCCAACATTCCTGCTGAACGAGCTCATTTACCCCTCGGTGCAGAGCGGTACGGCCCCACTTGTCTTTGGCTTCTACGTTGGCTCCTTTGTTGAGTAAAGAGTACACACAGTCAGTGTGTCCGCTCAACACCGCCAGCATCAGAGGAGTCCTGAGGAACATGGACACAACAACGGTCAGCAGATCTAACAATGCGGACAATTCTGGGCTCTTCAAACTCTTCAGACATGTTTCAAACAGGTACGGTTTACGTCACAGCCACAAACTGCAAATGAATACAGCCAAAACTACAGAGAGTGTAAGATTCAGGGAGCATTTGCCTTTATTAATGACCAGAAGGTCATTATAATAATGTAATGCAATATATGACATAAGAATGTAATTAAAATAACAATACTGCATCATCATAAAGCTCATTAAAGACTAATCTTTTTGAGGCAACTCAAGAAGTTCAGGGTGTTGAGGGAAGGGATGTTATGGTTGTATCGGGCAGTGGATAGAACCTATATTTACTTAGAGGTGGATGATATGGCAAAATAATGTAATATTGCGATACTTCAAAACATTTTCACGATACTCGATACACCACAATATTTATTTTTCCCCACATCTCATCAGCTGGAACAGAGAAAAAAAGGCAGTAGTGCTACATTAAAAAAACTGTACAATCAAAAACTTTGTTTTGATTTTTACTTAATGTTTGGCAAACCGTGTTGCAATAAATCCAGTTAAATGGAACTAATTTTGCTCTATAATGAAACATGCAGTTGGTCAGTGTACTGATGTTATCCACTATATGCTCAGAAAAGCATTTCGCTATTGTCGGAGGAAAACCTTGCATCTCCAAAATGGTAAATGTTACAGGAGAAGGAAAAACCTACTTTGCTTTTAATGTAAGTCAATGGAACTTTCCAAGTTTCATTCATCATGAAATTTACACAAAATGTAAAGGGCAAAAGGTATTTTTAAATTCTATCAAAAACTGAAAAAATGACAATAATGGAGATGGTTTTCTTCTGACAGCAGCGATATTGTCATATTGCATGAACATACTAATATACCAATATCACATAAATTGTCATACCAGCCCAGCCCAACACACTGACTTAGGGGTTTTATGGATAAATCATTCTAAAAGATACAACAGTACACTGGTTTAAAAAATATGGGCTTTTAAGGTCACTTAATAATTTAAGCTGAGCGCCCCCTGGTTGATTTGAGACATAACATTGACTTGGAAATCTGGTGTTTACTGTAGTTGTGCATTGTGTTGTTATTTTCTTTGGAAATTAGTTTTTTTTCTCAAAAATATACTTAAAATCAAAATATATCTGAATATTCCACAAATTAACAAAAACTGAATACTGTGATTTTATTCAATATTTGGCACACTGTGTTGCACTATATGCAGCTGAACTGGACTAGTTTTGCTCTCTGTATAATTAGAACATGCAGTTGGTCAGTGTTCTACAAGTACTGACGATATCCAGGTAGATATCTAGGTAAATATGGGTTGTTGTGTCATATTACCCATCTCTAGGTAGACACAGGTTCTATTACTGCCCGATACAACTGACGTCCCCTCCCTAAACACCTGCAGTTCCCTGTTCCTCATCTGATGCTCACTGAAACACGACAGATCTTTCCGTTCTGTACAGCTTGATCTGAAAAGCTCTAAAAACTGACCTGGACTCAGGCTAATTCAGTACAGACTCAGCTTAATATCACCACTGACCCCCTAATCAGCTGATTTAGGCTATGAAAATCTCCTAATTATTATTTTTATGCTGGTAACATTTTCTCATGACATTCGCTAGCATCCTGTTCTAGTTCTGAATGGTGCCATTTAAGGTGGAACGGGAAAATTCAAACAAGCAGCTGGGGTAAAAGAAGCTGACTTCAGCTTCAAGGAGAGCTGAATGGAGTGATATGAAGAGGTCGCTCTATTTCCACTTGACAGCTGAGTAACAGAACCAACAGGGCAGTATTGTTTAGTCCCGTTTGCTAATGATTGTGAGAGCTAATCACAACTGCTGCACCATTTAAGGTGGAACGGGAAAACTTGAACAAAGAAGCTAAATTCAGCTTCGTAGTTTTAATGCTGGTAGTATTTTGATAAGGAGTTTTAGGCTATCTAAATTCGTCACCACCATCACCCCAGACAGGCACAGTTTCATGTAGCTTAGTGACGTCAAATTGATGCTTTAGCTTTAGCTTGTATGTAGCAATATTAGTATAACGAATCTTTAATGACTTCGTAATTCAGAGGATCCAGTGATATTTGGAAGAAAAATGTACACAGGACAAAACGGATCGGGTTCTGAACATTTTGTTTGACTCTGGGTGTGATAGAGGTGATTTTTGGAAAACCTCATTCATTCTAGCCATAGAGAAACTGAGCTTAGACCCAGAGTTCCTAATATGGGCATAAAGTGGACTACGGAACGACACACGGAGGTCTGATGTATCGGGATGTTATATTTTTGCCGTATTGGCCCGTCTTACTGCAGACACAGAGTCAGCGATGTTTTCCACCTTTTGACAGATTAATTCTTTAATAAAGAATTCTAGCAGCACATTCTATACCATTGCCATGGCAATACTGGACAGGCTAATTAGCAGTAATGATGCTGAGATGTGACCAGGCCTATTCTGACAGCACTCCTACATTCGTTTTAAAAGATATGACTAACACCATGATAATTAACTCCTTTACTGATTCATGATTTCCTGCACAGAAACTTTTGAAAAAAACAGTTTTACAGTCTATTGCACTATAATGAACCAAACTCAGGACAGCACAGTAACACGGTGTGATTTTTGGCAATGAAACACGACATAACATTAAAATAACTACAAATAAATACAGGTACAGTAGTCAGTAGTCAAAACATGTTTTCAGTAAAGTACAGGTTTGGATTCTGACTTCTGCGCTGCAGCATTTGCACGGATTTGTTCAATTCCATCAGCAGCACCTGATTAGGGCTGCTGCTGTCGATTATATCAATAATCAAGCAATCTGTTTATTATTTTGATGACTGACAGAGTAATAACATATAGCAGACTTCAACTCATTTACAGGAAAATTGTAATTTAAAACATATGTATATTAACGAGATCCTGCTGGTGTGGGTTTCCTCTCTTTCAATACACAAAAAACATCCACTACTAATAGCGCCCCCTAGCAGAGAATGGTCAGATTACTGAGCATGCCTTTAAAATGTGGGTTCTCTGTATAAAATTCAAAATGAGAACTAATCACGAAGATGATTCACTACCTAAGTAATTTTTAATTGTTGTTTTGCCCTTCACCTGTTTTAATTCAAAATGATAGATAAGCCAGGTATGGGAGGTAATTGTAAAATATTAGGCTTCCTCGAGGAGAGATTTGAAGTGGTTAAACTAACACACTCACACACAGAACATAAAAATAAAATAAAGTCGCCGTCGGAACAAAACCTCGGATATGTCCGGAAACAGGAGAAGGAAAGAACGTTATAAACTGAAGTTAATAAAACAAAAGAATTTGTTCCTTTGTTTCCAGAATGGGTTGTTTCTGTTGGTTCATTCATCATGAAATTTCAGCACAATGCACAGGTTAACTGGAGTTTTCAAAAAATTATGCAAACGAGTAAAAAAAATAAAAAAAATAAAATTAAATTAAAAAAACCCCTGCAATATAAGGCTTTTGCATGACATTCACATATGTACATATATATATATAAAAGACCATGACTTACTGTCCAATCCCATCCTGAATGTCAACTGCGCTCTGCAGGTCAGCATTTCCAATCAGTAAACGCAGACAGTCAGAATGACCATTTGTGGCTACAAAAAAGAGAGGAAAAGAAAATAAAACACAGTGTGAAAGATGCATGGTAAACATACCTACCACTTGGTGAGCAATACTATTGCTTTTAAAAGGCAAAGATTCTAAATTACCCCATAGGGAGAAAGTCAACCAAGACATGTTTGGTATCGGAAGTTTATTTTAGCACTGGAGCTGCAAGGCTAAGTGCAACATAAGCACACACTGCGCGATTAAATCATCATACATTCACCTTAACCCAGGAGTCGCACCTTAACCCAGTCCTTTCAACAAACATGAAATCACCTTAAGAGCCAAAATATTTTATGTCCATTTTACCATCTTAGCTCTAAATATGTCTCAGTATCTGCTGATGTTCTAGTACAGGCTAAAAAATATAACAGCTGAAAACGCAGACTTACTTTGCTCTGCTTTAAGCTTTAGCTCAGCTATAGCTGCTTTTCTCGCATCTCTGGCAGGAAACTTTTCCAAAAGTAGAACAGTTTCTTGTAAAACGTCTCTCAACATTTGATTGTTGAGTCAAATGCTGAATTTTTCCCGTTCCACCTTAAATGGTGCCTGAGGCGCCAGAATGCAACTGCTGCACCATTTAAGGTGGAACGGGACAATTCAAATGAGAAGTGACTTAGTGTTCGACAGTTTCTCGTTGCAGATTAAACCAGCTGGAGTGATTAGAAACGCAAATAAGTCCATTCATCTCCAAATTGTCTGCATTGCTATAGTGCACAGACTGCTGGTCCTCAGGGTTAAAGGGTGAATCAGTTTTTCTACATTAACTCCAGCGTTTAAGACCATTTATAGTTAAACTGTGTTGAACGATCAGCAGAGCTTTATTTTACTGTAAAGGAGGATTATTTTATTTTTACCTACAAATCTAATTCTGCCGTGGGGCCGCAACAGGGCATAACATTCATGTTGCTGACTCTTGCCTTAACCCCATAAAATCTCAGGCTTATTACATAGTAAGGCTTATTATATAGTAACTATAGTAACTTAGGTTATAGAAGTGTGTAATAAAACTTTGGACTGAAAGGGGTTAAACCGCGTGGGGCTGTTATGTAATCGGCCTGATATGTGGTTTATATGATACATTTAACTACTAACATGAGTGAACATGACAATTTTGTCTGAACTATGGCATGTTTACTTAAATCGCAGATTGTGAACATTTAAGGAGTTCAATATTACTACCACTATTAATAATAATAATAATAATTATTATAATAATAAGGATTTTAACAGTCTTTGAATTTGTGATAACTCTTTATTCGCACCTGCTGCGTGGATGGGGGTGCGTTTGAGGGTGTAGTCTTTAACCAGGATGGAGGCTCCCTGGTTGATGAGAACGTCCACACACTCCACATGACCTTTAAAAGCAGCCAGGTCCAGCGCCGTGTGTCCCTGCGCCGTCCGTACGTCCAGATCCAGCAGAGACTGCACCAGCACCTCCAGGGCCTGGTGATGACCGTGAAACGCCTGAAGAAACACAGACTCTGAGAGGAATTCCACTGACTCGTGTGTAAAACCTAAACATAAACCTAAACCTCACTAACTAGAAAACTAAAAATGTGGTGAAAACGGCACATATTCTTGTGACAATCAGCCAAATGATTTGTAAACTTTTTAAAGTTTTCCTATCATCATAAGAAAAACCTGAAAACTTAAAACATTTGGTTCTTACGAAGAGCTGAATGCAGAAGAACACAACCTTCTGTAAAAATGTAATATCACAATACTTAGCACTATTTGCACAATATATTAAGTGAGTTCTTAGTTTTTCAGAGGTTTGATAAGCTGGAACAGACACAGTGCACCAGTATTAGTTCTGAAAACTGGGATCGGTAATTTGAATTTTCCCACAGTTCTCGCAGCAAATACCATCACGGCCCAAAACGACTTGGAAAAAAGTCTGGTTCCATTGGCTTGCATTAAAAGTAAAGTATGTTTTTTTTCCTTCTCCTGTAAAGTTCAAATTTTTGACAACAGCGATATTCAAATTTTAAATACATTTCTTAAGTAAGTAGGATATGTAACTACAGAAAATGCTAATTCTGGAATTTTACAATATCAAATGTCCAAAAAAAGGTTTGGCTGTACTGATTTCATTGTCTATTTTCCACTACAATGTAAACAGTTCCTTCAGTTATATTTGTATATTCAGTATATTTTTGAATCATCCTGAACCATGATAAAAGAATCAAATGATCTGAAATGTAAGACAAAACGATTCATTTCCTAAAGATCTGCAACTGATTTTCTTTTAACTGAGTTATTTTTCTGGGTAAACTTGCTTAACAGATCTATCGTATTTGTTATTGCTGACTGCTACAAAAAAGCTTCATGAAAGCGACAAAAGCGCTGAAGGGCCTTCGATAAAAAAGCAGTTATTTATTATTTACTTACGGCGAGATGCAGCGGGCTAACAGGAGCGCGCACATCAGAGTCGTTCAGTATGTCGGTCCCTGAGGTCTCCATTAACTACCAGACAGCAAAATCAAAATTAGGAGAGAATTAAGAATAAGAGTCTCATTTTACACGATGGCTGGAATCAGTACTCACCACATCTAAAGGGGTTTCACTCGCAATCTGAAACACAAATAACAAGAACAGTGATTACTGAAACCTGGGAGAATCTGTGTTTACTGCAGGGTGTGATAACAATGAGTGTGTTTACATGCACTCAATAATCCGATCACTATCTGATTCCTGCAGTTATCTGATTATTCAAGTGGTTGTGTAAACAGTACAATGATTTCTCAGAGTAAGGTCTAGAAATCTGATTAAGAAATCTGATAAAGAGGCTGGATTTTAGCTCCGTAATCAGATTTCTCAGTGCATGTGAACTCTTACTCTGATTTCTTTCCTTTCTCTCAGTCTGAGCATGTGTGAAAACACAGCCCCCACAAAGACGCAGCACAGCACTTTTGCAGCGATGCTAAAATCAGCTATACGTTTGACGAAATGAAGTGATTGAAACATTCTTCATATTCTAGATGATGTATGTTCATATTTTCAGGTAAAGTGACGGTGTTTTTAAAAAAAAGCAGCTCACGAAGTTTGAGTTTTATGTTACGTTTACGTCACGTCTTATTCTGAGAGTTTATTGGCTGGTTGTACAGCAGAAATCCGATTACTGTCTGACTCACGTAGACAGAGTTTCTCCTTTATCTGATTACTCAAGAGCATGAAAACACACTGAACCGGTTACTGATGCAATCTGATTTTCCGCAATTATCAGATTATTAAGTGCATGTAAACACACTCAGTGATCTTCTAAAGTGCTTTTCATTTTTTAACCAATGGAGAAAAATGACTTGTTTATAAAACGCAATTGACTTTCATATTAAATTCATTCTTCAGAAAAAAAACAAAGAAACATTTCACAATCTGCGTGCAACTGATTCATAAAAATGAATGTACTCTTAAACATATACACATCGTCCATCTTTTAACTGATCTGCATAGGAATGTTTCCAGAAATAAATGCTAAAAAGGAGAGAAAGAATGTGTTTAACGTGATCTCTTGTACTGACTCAGTGCTCACTGATTAAACAGTGAGCTTACTAAACCTGTGTATTTCTTTATTCTTTTAAAGAAAATAAAACGGAACAAGTAAAGTATAGATATACTGAAGCTGCTCAAGAGCTGCTCTCACCAGTTCCAGACAGAGGCGGTGTCCGTACGCAGAGGCGTAATGAACCGCGTTATAGCCCTGATTGTCTCGGATCCCTGGGTTAGCATCATTCCTCAGCAAATACTCCAGGCACCTGCACAATAAGGAAATCCTTATGAATACCTTACAAATACCACAACAATGCAAAGGATACAGAATTCAGCAAAGTGGACTACAAACTACATCCACACAGGGGGAAATCTGACTGACAACAACGCCACAAAACTCTCTGAGTATATGATGTGCACGGTTAGCACAAGTAGAAAACTGAATAACTGTATGGGTCATAAAAAGATGGACCAATTACAGAGCCTGTAAACAAAAACAATAACAAACTGCATAGTAACGTAGTAGTTGATTGGATTGGCCGCTCATTATGACCTGAAATATGACCAATTGCTTGACTTTCCTCCTGCTACTCCTTAAACAGCTGCATCGTCTGGGTCCATTTTTATTATTTTTTCCCCAATTTTCTCCCCAATTTAGTCATCTCCAATTCCACACCCTAGTTAGGACTCCCCCAGGCACACAATACTACCAATGCTAAGAGGCTGAAGGCAAACACAGGCTTCCTCCGAGACCTGTGAGGCACCACCGCATTTTTTTGAACTGCCGCTCACGCAACGTCGCTGGACAGCTGAACGCGCTCGTAGGAATTGGCAAACCGCCAGATCTGATACGCCAGCAAACAGCCACCTGCGCTGACTAGCATCACGCTGAGTGATGGGGGAGACAGGGGGGCCCATCCTACCCACCCAGAGAGCGAACAACTGTGCTCTCTTGGACTCCTGACCACAGACAGCTGTAGCATCACCGGGGATGAAACTTGCGATCTCCTGATGACAGGGCCAACGCTTAGACTTACACTGTGCCACTCGGGAGCCCCTGTGTCGGTCCTTTTTAAGTGCATCACTACTGTTTCGCTGATACACTTTGCCTGTTCTGACGTCCAGCCAGTGAAAACGTCTGTGTACTGTGATACAGTTTCACCAGATCGCCTTAACAACACAAGCACAACCAGTTCATTCTGTGACTTACTTTCCATCAGAGTCGGAGGCAGCGGCGTAGTGGAGGGGGGTGCAGCCCCTCTTGTCCAGGTCATTGACGCTGGCCCCCGAGCCCACCATGGCAAATAGGCACTGATAGTTACAGTTTGCAGCCGCATAGTGCAAAGGTGTCCTGAGGAGAAAGCAGTAAACAATGTAGAATTAATAAAGAACGCTTAGCTCCGCCCACACATTCTGACCGGTTGACCTCTCACACCTGTGTGCAATATAACCAATACTTCATGTGCAATATTCCATATGCAACACATGAAAAATATCCTTACAGCATAAAGATGTTTTGCTTTTTTTATTATTTATAATGTTTATATTGTTAATTTTGTGACAGTTTATTTTTTATCTTTGGTATTATAAATAGTGTAAACAATAATAGGTAAAAAATTGTAACATTTATAAGTTTTTAACAAGATTAATAACTTGTCTGTCAAGTCTGTTATTGACGCTTCTTTTTCTTGAGTGCCTTGTTCTCCTTTTGCTGCTGTAGCACTGTAAATTTCCCCTGTTGTGAGACTAATAAAGGATCAAATCCACCTTATTTTAAATCAGTTTTTTATGCATTCAGCTTTCAAGCAAGATGCCTCTATGAGTCGGCAGAATGAATGAATTTCCCTGAGGGTTGTTTCAGCTGCAGCCTTTTTTCTGAAAAATGGCCATCCTGGTGGTCTTTGCTAGGGCTGGGCAATATGCCAATATTTATCATTATCATGATACATCAAATCACAGTATGTTTTTCTGAGCATATTGTGGATATTGCCGTTACTTTAAGACCTCTGACTAACTGCAAATGTTGTTCAAAAGAGAGCTTAATTAGTCTGGCCTAATTTGATTTAGTGGAATACAGTAGGTGAAATGTTGAATAAAAATAAATGTCTGTTCCAGGTTTTTGACATACTGTGTATTGTGAAATTTTTTTACTATTCTTACTATAGATTTACATCTGAGGGTGACACTACGACTATGCAAACGACACTACAGTGCAAGCGGCTATGCAAGACTGTTATTCTCTTGGTGGTGATAATATCAGAATTTCTCTAGAAAGCAGTAATTGACAGTGATGATCGCTGGGGTTTGTCATGAGCTACACAGATACTGATATGTTTGTTTTCAGTATATATTAACTCACCTGCCAAAACTGTCTTTCTTGTTGAAGTCCGCCCCCGTGTTTAGGAGAAGATTGAGACAATCTAGGTTCCTGCAGAGTGAAACCGAAGTTTAAAATCAGGCAAACAGCTGAAACAGCTGTCAATCCATGAGTTCTTAACCAGAGTACAATTAAATTCAAAACCTAAATAAATAAATAAATAAATAAATAAATAAATAAATACTCACCCTCCGGCTGCTGCAGCATGTAAACAGGTCCTTCCAAGGTCATCAGGGGTGTCGATATCAAAGCCTGTTAAAATATATGATGAAGCTTAGACATGTCTACAAGACGATACACAGTTCTAGGTCATGGCGTTCGACTGGGCCACAAAGCGATGACTTGCATGGTGAAAGCAGAGTTTGCCTAGGCTGAGAGAACTTCGCACCATGAAACTGGAGTTCGACCCGGCCGCAAGCCGCGGACTTCGCAGTGTTAATGTTTGACTTGGCCATGGGCCAAAGGAGTCTGAATTGAGAAAGTGAAGTATGACTGAGCCATGCACTGGGTATGTTGCATTTTGAAAGCAGAGTTTGACTGGGCCACAGAACCTTCCGTTATGAAAAGTGGAGTTTGACCGGGCCGTGACCTGGGGAATTTACATCATGAGAGCAGAGTTTGACTGAGCCGCAGAACTTTGCGTTGTGAAAAGTGGAGTTTGACCGGGCCGTGACCTGGGGAATTTACATCGTGAAAGCAGAGTTTGACTGAGCCGCAGATATTTCAGCTATGAAAGTGGAGTTTGACTGGGCCGTGAACCGGGGACACTGCACTGTGAAAAAGTCTGACTGGGCTGCAGAACTTTCAGTTATGAAAGCAGAGACTAACTGGGCCATGCACTGGGGACTTTGCGTTGTGTAAGTGCAGTTTGACTGGGCTGCGAGTCGGGAACTTTGTACTGTGACAGCTATTACATTATGCAGTTCTACCCACAAGGCTAGTGTACTGGAGGGACGGCTTTACCGGAGGAGAGCAGTTTGCGGCAGCAGTCCGAGAAGCCACTGAGAGCGGCCAAGTGCAGAGGAAACATGCCGTGGACTCCCCGCCTGAAACAGACCGGAAATAACTCAGAAAGGAACCTCCAACTGGGGATGTAATACAGAACTGTGAAAGAGGGGTTTTCTCACTTCGAGGTGTCGGCTCCGTTGGTAATGAGCGTGTTGATGAGGAGCTCATGTCCGTATCGTGCTGCGATGTGCAGGGGCGTATTTCCATTTTTATCTTCACAGTCTATCTCAGCACCTGCAAGAAACAACAGGGGACACTTCATTAGATTATGAATGGATCTTATTAGAAATGCACAGAACGAGAGCTAAAAAAATCTTCATGTTCCCATCATTCTACTTCATTATAAACGACAGAGACTGCCCAGTTTGATCTCTGCGACTGAAGAACAGAGGGGTCGTTAGAGCAGTTTTAGACCCGGTACTCACCGTTCTGAATGAGCGCCTGAGATCGCGAGAACCTCCCGTGAATCGCAGTCATGTGCAGAGGAGTTTTCCCATCTTTGCTCTAGAAGAAGATTATTAATAATAATTAAAATGTAGACAGCAGTTATCGTAAAGCAGATTACAGAGTGGAGCCTAGACATTTAAAAGCTGTTCTCAGGCTTTGCAATCAAGCATGAGGTTTGTGTATCAACATAATATAAAATGCGTAAAATATTTATTACCTAAACATAATAAAGTAGTGCAGTTCAGGCGAGATAATGTGGACGTCTAAACCAGATTTTATTTCATTGCTGCTGGAACAAAAATCTCATCTCCATTTTTGCCGTTTTTAAATGGACCAGCAGAAATGATCCAAAACAGCAAACAGCAAAAGATCTTTTGACAGTAACTTACACTGAAAGTTAAGAATATTTTTATTTACCTGAATAAAACATCTACTTATATAAATAAAAGAATATATTGCTGGTGTCCAAAGAGAACCAAGTATTTCCGAAACTGTAACTGTCCAGGACAATAATGTTCTTTACTTTCAATGCAAGTTAAGTTCTGGGGCATTTTTATTGGTCCATTCATCATGAAATTTGCACACAATGTAAAGGAAAACTACTTTCATGATGTAGCAGTGATGAAGAAAAGTATATACGTATGTGTTTTACATATATTTTAAAAAAGAGATTCCATACAGTAATCTTTTTAAAGGCCCTAGATGATGAAATGTACGGTATGTATGTATATATAGATAAAAATATGTAACACACATGCACACACATTTTATACACACACACACGTATATACTTTTCTTCATCATTCCTACATCAAAGCCAGTCGTCTTTTACACTGTGTGAACATTTCATGATGCATGGACCAATTGAAATGCTCAAAAACTTACACTTAAAGAATATTTTACACTACATAAGGTAATTTGATTATTCCGGCTAGCCATACAGTCACATCTAACTTAATTCATTTGAAATTTTGTTATTTTATAAAACCAGTAAGCCAGATGAGGATGTGTGCTGTACAGTGATATCACCACAACTAAGGGGGTAATAAAATCACCGTAATCCACAACCTTACTGCACTAATTAGTCAGGGCTATTAATATATCAGCCCCAACAAGGAATTAATTACCAATAATTGTTATTGGCTCAGACTGCTATGTCTTGATTCACGGTTCCTCTGAGTCTCTGACCTTGATGTTGACGTCAGCTCCGTTTCCAACAAGCAGCTCGAGGCAGAGCGCTCCGTGGCGCGAGGCGGCCGTGAAGTGCAGCGGCGCGAAACCCTTCTCGTTCACCTGATTGACGTTGGCGCCGCACTCGATCAGCTCGTTCACCACCACGTCCTGCCCGTTGTAGCAGGCCACGTGCAGCGGGGTGTTCCCATACGCGTTCGGCTCGTTGATCTGCAGAGAGAGAACGGGTTCGTACGGTCAGGGCAGTTAAAGGGCCCGTTTCCCCCACACCCCCCCCCTCCGTTAGAGGACCACTTATGATTTCTGTGAAATTTCATGAAACAAAACCAGCCATAATGACCACTTTACAACCTCTCTTTATCTCTTAGAATTAAACAGGATGTTTTGGTTACTGTGCCTTTAAGACATGGAGCATGGGTGGAGCATGGGATTTGATGACATCACAAAAACAATGGATTCAAAACAGGCTGCAGATTAGTTTCTGTATGTGTAGCAAACTCTTTATTTCAGGCTTGTTTAAGATTGCTGGAAAAAATATTTGTGCCATGATTGTGAGATCACAGCTAGAGCTGTCAGAATAAAATATGACATCTGAATATTCATCAAACACAATGAGAAAAAAAAGAACAAAAATAAAACAAGCGAACGTTTGTTCTCTGCTGGGGCTCCCAATGTGTTCCAGGCCAACTGGTTACAAACATTATCACAAATGACCAGCAACCAAATGGAGGAAACAACATCTCATTGCTGACCGTAAACAAGCAAAACAAACAATTTATTTAGGTTCTAATTAAAACACTAACGGGTTTTACATACTAGAAGCTGATGTCTATGTTTACTTTATTTTACTTTATAAACTGAATAATGCAAATTGGCAGAAATACATTCTCTAAAAAAAATAAAATAAAAAAAAACACTACACAATGTAGAATACTGATAAAGGTGATATGGCAAAAATATTATACCATGTCACAATATTTATTTTTTCAACCTGATCAGTTGTAATAGAGAAAAAAGAACCAGTAGTGCTACATTTTAAAAATAATACAAAAACTGTGAACACTGATTTTTATTCAGCAGTTTTCATAATGTGCTGCACTAAATCCAGTTAAATGGGACTAATTTTCTCTCTTTATAATGAAACACGCAGTTGTTCTACAAGTACGGACGATTCACAATGTTCAGAAAAGCATTGTACTATGATGTAATTTATCAGAATAATGATATAAACTGCCATACTGCCCAGCTCTAAGCACTGACGTGGGGGTTTTATGGATTAATCATTGTTAACGATAAGACAGGTTGAAAACTACTGATTTAAAAAAACTGAGCTTTTGAGGTCACTTGACAATTGAAGCTGAGCACCCCCTGGTGGATTTAGGAGACATATTATTGACTTGGAAATCTGGTGTTCACTGTAGTTATACGGTATTTTCTTTGGATAATAATAATAAATCCAAATATTTTCAAAAATATTTGACAAAAAATGGAATTTGATTCTGATCAGATGTCAGCGTGCTGTGTTAAAGCTGTATGAATGGACACAATAAGCTTTATCAGAATAATACTTTTAATAATTCAATAATATTATTTTTCATGTGTATGTAGGCTGACGAGTGTTCAACAAGATCGCTGGGTAACATACCGGTGCTGGTGTTGGTCAGAAAAAAAAACAAAAAACAAACAAAAAATAAAAATCAAACAAACAAACAAACAAAAAAAGCACTACAGTAAAAAAAGAAGAACAAGCGACTCACGTCCACCCCCAGGTCCAGCAGGTACTTCACTACACTGATCATCCCACTAGAGGCCGCTGCGTGCAGAGGAGTGTACGCCTTCTTATCCTTACACATCACCTCTGCACCATGAGACACCAACAACTTCACCACCTCTAAATGACCTGAGAGAGAGAGAGAGAGAGAGACAGAGAGAGAGAGAGAGAGAGAGAGAGAGAGAGAGAGAGAGAGAGAAAATGATTAAAACTGAAGATGTTACGCAGGTGTTTAATAGAGACACCAGAATGTGTTTAATTATCAGTTAATTGTGTTTACAGCTGCAGAACCGAATGACACAGTGCCTTAAACTAATATATATAAAATATTACTTATTTAATATTAAATGTATGTGTATGTACATCTATTACATATCTCCATATTTGTATGGGTGTATAGATGTGTATAGATGAGTTTACACTGTGCATATTTTATTTATATACATTTTTTCCGCTTTAAATATTCTATTAATTGCTTTGGCAACAACTGTTCATTCTGATTCATGTCCATAAAGTTAATTTGAAGTTAAAGGAGAGAGGGAGGGAGGGAGAGAGGGAAGGAGAGAGAGAGAGAGAGAGAGAGAGAGAGAGAGAGAGAGAGAGAGAGAGAGAGGGGGGAGAGAGAGAGCAGAAGAGACAGAAAAAAAGAAAAGAGAGAAAAGAAAGAAAAACAGAAAACAAGAGAGAAAAAAGAGAAAGAAAAAGAAAAAGGGGAAGAGAGAGTAAGAAAGAAAGGAAGAAGGAGAGAAAGAGGGAGAGAGAGAGAGAAAGAGGGAGAGAGAGAGAGAAAGATAGGAAAAAGAGTAGAGAGAGCGATAGAGAGAGCGACAGAGAGAGGAAAAAGAGAGTAGAGAGAGTGATAGAGAGAGAGAGAGAGAGAGAAAACAAAGAGGGGAGAGAGGTAGGCAGATAGAGAGGAAAAAGAGAGTAGAGCGATAGAGAGCGAGCGATAGACAGAGCGAGAGAGAGAGAGAGAGAGCGTGCGATAGAGAGAGCAAGAGCGAGAGAGAGAGCAAGAGAGGGAGAGAGAGGGAGAGAGAGAGAGAGCAGAAGAGACAGAAAAAAAGAAAAAAGAGAAAAGAAAGAAAACAGAGCAAAAGAAAGAAAAACAGAAAACAAGAGAGAAAAAAGAGAAAAAGAAAGAGAAAGAGAAAGAAAAAGAAAACAGGGAAGAGAGTAAGAAAGAAAGGAAAAGGGAGAGAAACGAAAACAGAGAGAGAGAGAAAGAGGGAGAGAGAGAGAGAGAGAAAGATAGGAAAAAGAGTAGAGAGAGCGATAAAGAGAGCGATAGAGAGAGAGAGGAAAAAGAGAGTAGAGAGAGTGATAGAGAGAGAGGAAAAAGAGAGTAGAGAGAGTGATAGAGAGAGAGAGGAAAAAGAGAGTAAAGAGAGCGATAGAGAGAAAACAGAAAGAGGGGAGAGAGGTAGGCAGATAGAGAGGAAAAAGAGTAGAGCGATAGAGAGAGAGCAAGCGATAGACAGAGCGAGAGAGTGAGAGAGAGCAAGCGAGCGATAGAGAGAGAGAGCAATAGAGAGAGCGAGAGAGTGAGAGCAATAGAGAGAGAGAGAGAGCAAGAAAGAGAGAGCGAGCGAGCGTGCGAGAGAGAGCGAGAGAGTAGAGCTGATAGCTGCTGTGATCTCAGCTCAGAGTAAAGTCAGTCAGCCTGCACATGCAGAGACTGCAGTTCAGACAGAGTCTCACCCATATAGGCGGCCCAGTGAATCGCCCGCCGGTCCTTCTTATCAAACGCGTTAATGTTGGCTCCTCTGGACAGCAGTAACCTCACCATCTGTCACACAGCACAGCTTTCACACTCACGGCATCACAGAGCGTTTACATCCGACTCTTTACCCTCCCTAACAGGAAATTACCAGCTGTACCATCGTTATACTTCTCCATACTCACAGAAACCGTTTCTCATCCTGATCTCCACCTGCTGCGTCTGTAACACACAGCTGATCACCAGACAGTCACGTCTGTACGTTTCACTGAACTTACAACACAACTGACTAAGATTACGTTCACACGGCAGGTAAAAGTGGCCAAATCCGATCTTTCTGTCCGTATGTGACCCAGATGTGTGTCAGTGTGAACAGATAAACACGCTGAATCTGACATTTTCAGTTCCGATTTGAGACGCTTTCATATGTGGTACTGAAATCTGATATCAGCAATTCTGAACAGCCAGATCGGAATTCATGCGACTTTTACATCAATCCAACTCGACATTCGTCATAATTTCTGTCTGAGACAGTAGCTGCGTTCCAAAGCCTAGGCTGCATTTCTCGGCCGCTACGTCACAGCAGGCCATTCCAAAGTAAAGGACCCTACATTCTGAGGGATTTCAAGGATGCATCAGCCTCGTTAGGACTGCTCCGTTAGTGTGACCAATAGGCTACTTCATAGGACAGTCCTACCTGCACTACCTCGGCTGCAGCCCAGGCTTTGGAAAGCAGCAATAGTTTTGAGGCAAAGTAGTCCCCAAAGAAAACTTATTATTTCAGGTTTTTTTTGGTGCTTTTTCAAATTTCGGGCTTTACCATTCAGTTTTTTTGTGAATTCGTAAAAAACTGGTGGACGGAAAAGTCGCCAGTGAGCTTTCGGTAAAACGTGTGGAGACTACGGATGTGGCAGGTAGAGATCAGGAAGCAAAATCCTGGAGTATTCCTTTAAATAAGGTCTCCATGGAGAGGGTCAGAGAGGTGTGGTGGGGTGCGAGGCGTGTACTGACCTCCAGGTGTCCGCTGAAGGCCGCGTGGTGCAGGGCGGTGCGGCCCGCCCGGTCCGACACATTCACGTTGCTGAGCAGTGGAACCAGAGCCTCGGCGCAGCGCACCGCTTTATTTGCCGCGGCAACGTGCAGCGGCGTCTGCCAGTTCTTGTCCCGCGCGTTCACGTCCGCCGAGTGCTTCAGTAGAACCTGCACCGCCTCCTGCAGGACACAGCAAAACACAGCTCTCTCACTGAGGGCAGACAAACGCAACAGTCTGAAGCTGCTGTGACTTTTTTTAAAAATTCCTGCTTAATTAAACGGTTAAGATGTAAACCGAGTCGTTCAGAGTGGTTTGGTGTGAAACGCTCCGTTCTAGAGAAACTCAGAGTCAGAACTGTTCACAGTGGTGGTGATAGGAACCAGACGTCCACCTCTAAAAGCTCCCTCACAGAAAGTTACTACATGAAATGGTTATGAATTCACTGCCTGATGACTGAGACACTGTTTTACGATAGTTTAGAGAACTTAAACTCCATTCATGGTGGAGGGATACATGCAGGGCGCTGTGAGGCAAAATAGTCCCCAAAGAAAACTTATTATTTCAGATTTTCCACTATTTTCCATCATCAACATTCCATATAAACTCAGACGACTCGTGTAGGTTCACTGGTGGTTCTGGATAGTAAATAAAATGTCTATATCTGTGTTGTAGTCATGGCGACCCCTGGTTCCTATCACCACCACTGTAAAGACATCTGAACCATTTCACACCAAACCACTCTGAATCTCTCTGTTCACATCTCACACACTGAAAAATCAGTGACATTCCCCTTTAATTAATTACAACTGATAATAATATTCAGTAAGGTACATACGCAAATGAAAAAAGTAATGAAAATGAAAGAATGTATGAATAAATAAACAAATAAACAGATAAATAAATAGCTTGGTTTGTTGTTTTCTACTGTGTAACAGCTCCTCCAGATACATTTGTGTATTCAGTGTATTTTTAAAAATATTTCTGACTCGTATCAAAATTATCAAATCAAAATTGGGGCACAAATATGTACTGAAGTGTTTCTTAAAAATTTTAATAAAATTATGAATAATTATGTTATTCATTCAGCCTAATGAGAAACTGTAGAACAGACTCAGTTTATATCACAATACCTACATTTAGAGTCAGTTATTCATTCAACCTAATGAGAAACTGTAGAACAGACTCAGTTTATATCACAATACCTACATTTAGAGTCGGTTATTCATTCAGCCTAATGAGAAACTGTAGAACAGACTCAGTTTATAGCTGAGCAGGTCAGCAGGGAGAGTGTGTTATGTACGTGTAAGGTAAGGTAATTAACTCTAGTAGTACCTCACTGCAGGAGGCCACTGCCCGGTGCAGAGGAGTCAGCCACTTATTGTCTTTGGCATTCACTCTCGCTCCTACAGAGAGACGACACAATCGCTCAGCCACCACATTCAAATCAAAAGGAACATTCAAATGAGGAAAAAACAAATAAGGCACGATATAACCTTAACGTCTTAACCCGCCAACGTCCCGTCCACATAACACAGAGAGGAACAGCAGAGCAGAGCAAAGCTGACTGCCCGTTTACCTGATAAAACCAGCAGCTCTATGATTTCAGCGTCTCCTAAATACGCAGCAGCGTGCAGCGGAGTCCTCTTCTCGTTATCCTGGAGTGGACGGGGAGAAAGACGTGTCAAACATAATGATGAAGGTCTGTGAGTGACATACTCTGTAAAAAATGCACATATGCGCTGATCTGACGGTAGGACTGGGCGATAAAACGATAACGATAATTATCACAATAAGAAATGTTTGATAAGTTTTCGATATAACACACCGTTCTCACTTCCACATTCAGCGACGGCCCTGGTGGCGTTTTCTACGGCAAGGAAAGTGACACTACTCTGCTTTCGCCATGAGAGGACGCACTTCCGAGTTTCTTGACATGATTAGAGAGGGAGGGGCGACGAGTAAAAAAGGGTCGCCAAATATACCTTTGCAACGTACGAAACGTGGAGTTATATATTCCCTGTCTGAGTGGAGCGACCGGCGATCTGCTCTCCTGTGACCGAGACCACCTTATTAGTCCCACAATGGGGAAATTTCACCTCCGCATTTTAACCCATCTGTGCAGTGAAACACCACATACACACTAGTGAACACACACACTAGGGGGCAGTGAGCACACTTGCCCAGAGTGGTGGGCAGCCCTATCCACAGCGCCCAGGGAGCAGTTGGGGGTTGGGTGCCTTGCTCAAGGGCACTTCAGTCACGTACTGTCGGCTCAGGCGATCAAACTGGCGACGTTCCAGTCACAAGGCTGTTCCCTAACCTCCAGCCCAGGACTGTCCCAGTTTAAACGAAAGTAAACTGGGGATGCTGTATGTGTGCCATTGGGGAATGGGAGAAAGCTAGCTGTTTTTAGCAGCTGGCTAACTTGAAGCAGCACTCCGTCACTCACACAGCACGACGAATTAATGTTACTGTAGATCAGACAAGACAAAAAAAGCACCGATTTCAGTTTAAACGTTCCTAAAAGGAGGACTCTGTTTGTCTGGTGTGAGAGATTCACACTGCAGTTAAAGCTTTTACACAGTGAGCGTCAGATACACTGCGGTTCACCCCTCAAACTACTACGGTAGAACAGAGGAGTCCAGTCGTCGCTAGCTGGTGTCTGTATACTGTGATATGCTCTGACAGGGACGTGGTGGGAGTGATGGCAGTAAGGTGGTGTGATCCATCACTGACGTACTGAGCCAGCTAATGTTGGCTGTTCGTGTTAAGCTGACATTGTTGAGAAAATGGTTTAGCACTTGTAACCACATAGCCGAGCTCTCGATACCAGACAGCTAAAATAAGCTGTTTTCTTTCTTGAACTATGACTGTTAGAAAACTTCAGCTGTGCTTTTCCAGCTGGTAAAAACAGCTCATCAGACAGATCTGTGAAATGCATCACTGTTTGCTGAGTGTTTGTCGTGTTCTGACCATGTAGGAATGTTTGAAACAGCAGTTAACCACCCAGGAGCAGAAATCAGCCTTCAAACTTGAAAGAAATAATGATTTGACATTTATCGCGACATGTATGTATCGATATCGACTGATATGAATTTTTTTATCATGGTAAGATATTTGGCCATATCGCCCAGCTCTACCTGAAGGGGTTGACTGAACTGCAGGACTTCTGCCCTGTATGATTCTTTAGGAAAAATTCAAATCAAACTGGCTGTTCACAAAACACTGAGTGTATTTACATGCACTTAATAATCCGATCATTATCAGATTTCTGCAGTTATCTGATTATGTGGGCATGGAAACAGATTTCTCAGATCGGACTAAGGCCTAGAAATCCGATTAAGAAATGTGATAAAGATTTAGGCTCAATTCCATTTCTTCTTTTCACCCCTACCCCTTGTTTTCGAGTGTCTCCTTGCCCCTTGGAACTGAGTTACAGGGTAGTGGTTGAAATCTTCCCTCTGAAATGGGACCCTCAAATAAAAAGAGCATCACTTCATTAACAGCTACTAGCGCTGCTCTGTAGGCGACCCTGCCAGTCTGCAGTGACAGCAGAGGAGGGTAAAGTTCAGCTCCTCACTGCTGGGCTTTAGTTACATTTAGGGCATCATATGATCTTCAAAGAGGGGGGAAGCTGAAAGTTTGACGGAGCAACAGTAACAACAGTAACCGGGATTCAAGAATTTTGAAATCAATTCATGTCAGATATTAACGCAAGTCCAGAGAGACAACGAGGTAGTTATAATTTTCTGGATTGTTATTGTTAATTAACACATTAATTATCTTGTTATCTGAACATAAAACTGTTATCTTAAGATAATGAGTTAATCATAGTGTGATCAAGATATCAAAGTTGTTATCTTGAGATATTTATCTTGTTCAAGATAAAAGTTCTTAAGATAACGAGTTAATCATCTTCTGATCTCACATATAACAAGTTACTTATCTTGTTATTTCAAGATAACAAAAGTTGTTATCTTAAGATAACGAGTTAATCATCTTGTGGTCTCAACATATAACTTTTTTGCTATTTCAAGAAAAAACTTGTTAAGATAAGTTAATCATCTTGCAATCTCAAGATAAAGTTTTCTTGAGATAATGAGTTATTTATCTTGTTATCTTGAAATAACAAGTTACTTATCTTATTTCAAGATAAAGTTTGTTAAGATAAGTTAATCATCTTGTGATCTCAAGATAAAGTTGTTATTTTGAGATAGTTATTTATCTTGCTGTCTTGAAATAACGAGTTACTTATCTTGTTATCTCAAGATAACAATCCAGAAAATTATAGCAACAGCTCATGGCCTCTCCGGACTTTCCGTAGACATTAACTTCCCAAGTGACGCTCAAATTAGCCACTAAAACGAAAAAGATAACGCACTGAAATCTTACCTGTATGTTCACATCCTCCTTCTTGAATATGAGGGACCGGACTTCATCCGGGTCAACATTGAATATAGCTTTTAGCAGAGAAGGCTGAAAGATAAGGAATTCACCAAGTTAAGAAGAACCAGGACAGAGAAAATACAAGTACTGAGATGATTCTGCCCTATATATACACTACCAAGCGCTTCTCTGTGCTAGGACTGAACTCTCCCACGTTTGGGGGCCGAGTGACTTAACCATTAGGCTAAACAGCCAATTACAAAACACACACGAGCTCAGCTCGAACACTCGCCTGAACTACACGCCTGTAAAATTACATTAAACATCAGGATCATTCTCAATATTGTGTTTTAAGTGAGCCGGTAAATTCTACTGTCACAACATATTTGATAACTAAGCAAAAATAAATAAATGAATAAACAAAAATACAAATTCATTCTTGTGTGCTGACAATAATTATCTGTTTTGTAGCCTTTATAGAAAAAGCTGCTGATGTAAGGTTGACTGTTTCTCCTTTCACTGCACAAAAAAAGTGCTCTCAGTTCTGATGTTAAATACTAAATTATTTAATTTATTTTTATTTTGCACAACAGTGAACAGCGCTTTTGTAATTTTGTATTTGCTTAAACGAGAGGTTGGGTAGTTATCTCTGTTTACATATCCAAAAAAGAAAAACTGCAGTCAGAGGCACATTATTTTAATAAAATGTATCACTTCTCATATCAGCACTGTGATATATACGACAGCTTTATTGATCGTTGCATTTTAGGTCAGTTCAAACTCTTGCATACGACTGTATATTACAGTTACTGTCAAATTACATCACAATACGCTTTTCTGAGTACATCACACAGTATGTAGTATCTTCAGCACCAAAGGGACATGGGGGCGGCCTTGTGTGGCAGCAGTTTTATCATCAGCCTCAGGGAAAAGGCCTCCATACAGCCCGCGGAGACAAACAGTGATAGTAGCTGGACTGATAGTGGTGGAAAGAACAACCTGAACTTCTTGCTCATCGAGGAACCAGGTAGTGCGTTCTTTGTTTCCTCAAAACATCCAGCCAAGTTCCCGAAACAGAAGTGCTCTGAGGCAGCGTGGGACGGAGCGCAACCTGATATATGACATACACCTCATACCACTCAGTGCAAAACCAGCTCTCATGTAAATGCAACAATCTGTTTTATATGCTATATAAAAACACACCGATCAGCCATAACATTCTGACCACCTCCTTGTTTCTACACTCATTGTCCATTTTATCAGCTCCACTTACTATATAGGTGCACTTTGTAGTTCTACAGTTACAGACTGTAGTCCATCTGTTTCTCTGATACTTCGTTAGCCTCCTTTTACCCTGTTCTTCAGTGGTCAGGACCCCCATGGACCCTCACAGAGCAGGTACTATTTGGGTGGTGGATCATTCTCAGCACTGCAGTAACGCTGACGTGGTGGTGGTGTGTTAGTGCGTGTTGTGTTGGTCTGAGTGGATCAGACACAGCAGTGCTGCTGGAGTTTTTCCCAAACTGTCATCACCACTGAGCAGCTTTTCAGTCGGCAGCTGAGACAGATGAACAGCTAAACAACCTGGAATCAGCCAGAAATGAACCCAACACCATTCGCCAAACTAAATGGGCTGTAAGATGCTTTACAGACTGGCTGGAACAAAACAACATTAATACTGATCTGGAAAAAACTGACAAAACTGAGCTGAACTTGATATTGAGGCAGTTTTATGGCTCAGTCTGATTTGGTCAGATTCTGAAGATCAGACTACACGTTTGGCGAATGGTGTTGGGTTCATTTCTGGCTGATTCCAGGTTGTTTAGCTGTTCTTCTGTCTCAGCTGCCGACTGAAAAGCTGCTCAGTGGTGATGACAGTTTGGGAATTTAGCGTAAGGAGCTGGAGAACGAACTGCCGGCTGTGCAGCGAGTGGGCGGAGCTCGTTACTCTGACACAGCAACAAGCTGCTCGTTAAGGAACTATAATTTGGTGAAGGAACTGCGAACATTAAAACATATTAAACGCCGCGTTCACGGCCCAGTTTATTAATTTATTACTTTATTTATTTAACTGTTGTATTAAAGCAATAGAACACTCGAGGAGTGTGTTATCGCCAATAACATCACGGCTGTGATGATCTACGGCGACCAAATCACAGCCGTGATGTTATTGGTGATAACACACCCCCTGTGTGTTCTACTGCTCAACTGTCAAATTCTGTGTTTTTAACCTTTCTTTAAAGCGTAGAGAGAGAAATCTCTCAGTCTAAGCTCTCGATATTTCGTTAAAACTGAGACCAGGTTTCCTCGACTGACTCTGCATTGCTTTTAAGATTTGCTGTAAGTCTTTCCAAGCGAATAAACTCACTGAGAGTCAGTCTGTGCGCGGACGCTGACAGTTTCATGCACTTACGTCAGTTTTCACACAGAGTGCAAAGCAAACAGTCACCAGTTCCTCACAGTCACTACGGTAATACAGGTTGGACCAGAAAACCAGAGGAGAAAACACCATCATGGTCAAAACAGCAACATGTAAAAGGCATCCAAAGCAAACATGCAGCCCCACAACAAAGCAGGAAGAAGCTTGTGTAAAGAGAACTGATGGAAAATAATGAAGAGAACTAAGAAAAAGGCGACAGTATTTATATTACTGACAAACTGGTGGATTTCTGCTGTTTACTGGGTTCCAGAAATTTGACAACAAAGAAGTGACCATTATATCAGGCAGTAAAACACTGTTCATCAACAAGAACTGGTGTTATTATTATTTTTTTGGCGATGATACACATTAAAAGGTCCTAAGTATCTAAAAAGAGTCCTTTTAATGATTGAATTAATCTACTTTAAGGTCTATTAATATACCTTTAAAGTCTCCATGTCCAGTGCCAAACATGGGCTAGAGGGGTATAAAGCCCCCCAGCATTGGGCTGTGGAGCAGTGGAACTGCATTCTCTGGAGTGCTGAAGCTCCATTCAATACCTTTGGGATGATTACTGATCCAGAACTGACCATCCAACATCAGTACCTGACCTCACTAATGCTCAATCAAATCCTCACAGCAATGTTCCAACATCTAGAAGCCTTTCCAGAAGAGCAGAGGCTGTTACTGCAGCACAGACTCACTATTAACACCTTCATTTCAGAAGAAACGCTGGCGTCTACAAACTTTTGGACAGTATAGTGTATTTCATTCATATCGTCCACCTTCAGTGAGGGGCAGTAAAGGGGTTTAGTGCTGGACAGCACATTTAATTGACTTTAGTGGTCACTTAAAAGTTTAAATTTGTTGTGTAGCAGCACTTAGCTCAGCAGTTACGCTCCCGATTCATCACCAGCTGAAAACACACAGGAAAATGCAGACAATACACACACTTCTCATCTTATACGGCAGGATTTCCTGACCCAGATTAAGTCTAGTCTCAGACTAAAAGCCAAATTTAAACACTAGAATCACTCATTCTGTAGACAATAAGGCCACTATACTAGAAACTGTGCTCAGTCTGTGGAAATCACATGTTTATATTTATATGATGCACATAATTTTATCGGATTATGAAAGTAATGTAAACATTCTGATGAAGCTTATTTTGTCCATTTATATAGTGCACTATACATCAATACGTTCTTTAGGGTCAAATAAGACAAATGTGACTAATCACAATTAATTAGACCAATTAATGTGATTCATCTCTGTGTGTGTTTATTTATATATATATATATATATATATATATATATATATATATATATATATATATATATAAATAATACACACAGAGATATATACATATATATATATATATATATATAAAAAAAACATACACACAGATATATATATATATATATATATATATATATATATATATATATATATATATATATAAAAAAACACACACACACAGATATATACATATATATATATATATATATATATATAAAAAACACACACACAGATATATACAGGGTGATTTAAAAAGATTCATCTGATCTCACAGCGCCATATTTTACATATATATATATATATATATATATATATATATATATATATATATATATATATATATATATATATATATAAAAAAACACACACCCAGATATATATATATATATATATATATATAAAAAACACACACACAGATATATACAGGGTGATTTAAAAAGATTCATCTGATCTCACAGCGCCATATTTTATATATATATATATATATATATATATATAAAAAAAAACACACACACAGATATATATATATATATATATATATATATATATAAAAAACACACACACACACAGATATATACATATATATATATATATAAAAAACACACACACAGATATATACAGGGTGATTTAAAAAGATTCATCTGATCTCACAGCGCCATATTTTTACAACCGTGAGGCGCCTAGGAACCAATCACAATCCAACTGAAAGAGGGGGTTAAAGGCTATGTTCACATTACAAGCCTTGTTGCTCAAATCAGATTTTTTGCTCAAATCCGATCTCTCTGACTCAATGGTTCACACTCGTTCAGGTAAGTGACTCAAATCTGTCATTAATGTGACGAACTGGCGTCCTGAAATGACCCTCATGAGCTCATCCTACTCAGTAACGTCACGTGAATGAATCACGTGCATCATCAGCACAAACTAACGAGCAGAACGAGCTTCGCTGAGAAGATCATTAACTCTGATCGGCTCTCAGCTTCATTATTAGAGCGAGACGAAGGAGAAAAAGGTGAGATGAGCTGCTTTTCCACCGTTTACAGGCTTTAACTTCTGTTCGGTGCTGCTGCCATGGTAACGCTGAATGATGGTCACGCGCAGTGGAACAAAAGCACATGAATTCCGATCCGAGCGTCACATTATACACAAATTAATGCAACTAATTCAAATGTAATTAAATTTAAATGAAATTAAAATCTAAATTAATTAATAGGGCTAGGTAACATGAGAATATTTATTGTGTTAAACTGTCACAATGTGTTATAATATGCTTGTCTGAGTATTTCAGACGCTGTCAGTGCTTAAACACGTCCCAACTGCAAGTTTGATTGTATGCATAATTAGTCCTGATTAACTGAAATTAATGTGGGG